TTCTCCCCACATGCGCGTAAATCGACCAAAATAGCACTTAGGGACACTAATATCTAGGTATTCATTTATCAGTTAATAATGTTATAAGTCGCATGGTTTGATGTAATAGTGGTTCGATTATACACCGCCACTTATTTTTATTTTTGAAAATAATAAAAACGGGAAGGGGTGAAGCTAGGAACTAGGTAGTATCTATATCCATCCCTTGGGTATATCTCTTGAGAGAATTGTACTATCTAGCACTGACTGTCTCAAAACATATCTCTTGGCTGTACCCCTTGAGTATTTTCGCAACAGTTGGAACCTGAATATTGCCCTAACCTCCCTATTTAATTTTTTTTAAAAATAGTAAATTTTACAATGACATCGAATGGGTACAAATTCATGATTAACATTCATAATAATAATAATAATAATTTAATTTGTTACATTTTAATTGGTTTATCCACTCATTTCTTTGATTGAGTTGTTTGCATTCTCCATTTAATCGTCTATTTTACCTTAGTTCTACTTGTTTAAAGAGATTTTGAATTTAAAATATAGTGATTGTGTATTTTTTCCCCTTTTAATAACATTATTCAATCCTTTGAAAAATACAATAAATAACTCAGTCACAAATAATTATTAGGAAAGGAATAATGTTCCGTAATGATCTAAATTTGAAGAGAAGAGAAAAAGACATAAATTGCTAAGGCTACATTGTTATGTCTGTTTTGAGGATTTTTTTATTAAAAATGTGAAAATATATATTGTAAATGTAAAAAGATGAATTAGAATAACAAATATAAACACTACTAAATACCAAAGAAAAATCTTAACAAAGTCTTAATCTCCTTGTTTATTTATATTTATGAATTTTTCCAATGTCACTCATCAGTTACTCCTACTAGGGTTCCTCTGACATCGAGAAAACTGAACCCAAAACAAAAAAATTGCAAAAAATTAGCTCATGCATCTGAATTCTCCAAATGGGGGTCGAAATCTTGGAATACTACATTAACTACATTTCGACCTTCAAACATTAATCTTATGACTTTATATTCTCTCTTCAAAATTTCTACACAAAGAGAAAAAAAAAAAGTAAAAAAAAAAGTAGATATCAACATGTCACTCTAAATTGTCACACTTTAAAAGGTATTGAATCTTTGGTAGGTTGAAAACCTACGATGGTTTTGTATGCTATTTTTTGTATTTTATAACACCCTGTTAAACCCTGAAAAAATAAGAGTCTGACATATCTCGTTCCGTCCTCATTTTTGTTTGTTCATCTTCACTTTGGCCATTTTAGTATCATTCTCTTGGTTTTCTTGTTGTACATTGGCATCCAGGGGCGGAACCAGTAAGGGGCTTGGGGGGTCTCAAGCTCCCCCAGCCGGCCGGATTCAACCATGGTCGCCTCTAGTCGGATCTCTTAGTTGTTAATGCTTCTTCTTTCAGCCTTTCTGGGTCTGTGAGTAGAGGGCCTAAGGATGTCGAAAATCTTTGACTTTCAGTGCTCTAATTATTGTTTTTATAGTTCATTGTGGTTGATGGCGTTCGGGCGGCGAGTTGTAGCGGGGACGTAGCGAAGAAGAAGAAGATTTTAGTTTTTCAGAAATTTTAGGATTGGTGCCCGAGTTTTGCTATATAGCAGATGATGCCCCTTCATTTATAGTTTTAAGATTTTGCTATAATTTTTTGCCCCCTTAACTTTTTAAAAATTATGACATTGAATGACATTGACCTTACACTTAAGTATTTTTATGCATTTAGGACCATGAGAATTCAACTATATTATTAAAATTTTCTTGTAGTAATTAACAATGTTCTTGTTTTAAATAAGCCTTAGGTGCTTTTTCATTAAATGGTGTGGATTTTACACAAATTTTACAGCAGATGATGTAAAAATTATTTTAAAAAGTATGATAAATTTAAAATATTTTTATTTATTTAATAAAGAAAAAAGTTTCTCTCTGAAGTCTATTATACATCCAGCCTCTCGAATATCAAAAGCTGGTTCCGCCACTGTTGGCATCCGATAAGGCAAATTTCTCGTCCATATCGTCTCGAAGTTCGAAACAATATATAGATGTCATCAAATTTCTTTTCCATGTTAACTGATTGAAATAAAAGAAGAAAAGAAAGGTTCTTCAGAACATTACCTTGGAGCTGGAGGAATATGCCAGACAGGTCAAAGTTTTCTATTGTTTTCTAACTTGGTTTCACCTTTAAACACTCTGATTGATACTGTTGTTTGATCATTTTGGTGAGTTGTGAAAACGTAACTAAACTATGCTCGAGGGAAATGGTGCTAACTGGAATCATTTTTTACCATGATATTGTCATATGGTTCTTTCCCGTCAAAGAATATCTGTTAATAGTTCTCGCAGTTTGGGAATTCGGGTGCTCCCTCCAAACTAGCACAATGTCGTCCGTCAATGTCTTTCTTCTCTAAATGTGCATCCTTTAAAGACTGTCTGACCAGTTCTAGGGTCATTTCAAACAAATCCATGTTCAGTTCTTCAAAATTTTCCCTTGAAAGTGCTTTGGAGAAATCAATTCCATCAAAAAGCGAATCGATTTCAATATGAACTTGCTGCTGATTAGTCAAGCCTTTCTTAGCTTTCTCAGACTCCTTTTTAAGCCTTCCCATGGCCTATTTAATCATATCACTATGTACTTGTTCTTTGATCTAAATCTTCGCCTCCCTAGTGAAGATTGCCATTTTTGTTGAAACAATGTCGAAGAGACCACACTATCGGCAATCACTGTGGTAACATCAAAAGTAACTCCACCGAAATCAAAAGGCAATTCGATTCCAACACGGGAATTAGTATTGGATTTTGGGTAAAGGATTAGAGCGATTTTCTCTCCAGTTGGTCGATAAGATTTTGTTTTGGTTGGCAACCGGTAAACTACTACGTTGGTCTCCCGAATTTTTTCCTGGAAGAGCCCTTCCGGACGAAGAAGATGAAGGGCTTTTGCAACGAAGAGGGAAAGTTGCTAATTTAAATTGGGTTATAAATACTTTATAAAAATTCGGAAGGTGGGCCCACAAATATCGCCCATCCTTACTCTATAATAAAGGAAAAATTTCTCCGTCCAAAAAAAATAGTTCGGATTAAATTCTGAGATTTACGATATTAATTTTAGTCCATATAATGTGAACTGTTTTTTTTTTTTTGAACAGAGATAATAACCAATTATTGTATTCGTGTATATTTATGATTTTTTTTTTTTTTTACTTCTTTTAAGTGTAAGAATGACTTTTAGAGGGTTTTCTTTCTTCTTTGTTTTAAATAAAGAGTAGTGATACAATTAGGAAACATTTGACAAAAAAATTACAAGAAATGGATAAATCTTAACTATCCCCTAACGAAAAAGTGTATGTCTAGACGGTTATGATTCATTCTTATTAAAATTTCACTGCAAGAATTATTATGCTTAAATAAAATAAAATTAGGCCATGTACACGTAATTACAATTCAATGTCATTTTTATAATAGCATGTTTGCCAACTATGATCACGTGTGGAACCACATTGTCAAACCTATAATACGTTACAATTTCAACTTAGATAGAAAATGACGCCTATATCCATCTAAATCCGAAGGGATATAATTAAATAGAGGCATTCTTCGTATTGGTTGTGTTTGCTAGTCTTTCATCTTTAATTTTTTTCATTTTTTGTTTGGTAATTTTAAATTTGTAACCAACTAACATTAAAAAGCAAACAACTATCAATTGGTAAAAATATTTGCTGGTTTAACTGTAATAAGTGTCTCAAGTCATACAGCATAGACTAATGATTTTTCATCTCAAAATGTTTTCGGTTTTATTTTAAGTTACAATTACTTCAGATATTAGATGTGTATATATTAGACAAAAAAAAAAAACTTTTTATCGGTCATGCCGTTGTAACTAATGACACTAAATAGAGTAAATAAAATGTTAAAATTCATTTTTACTCGATTAATTGGTTAGTTAATTTATTGCCGAAGGATGTAAACCTAAGGATGGTTAAAATGGACTATAGTCAATAAACTTTCATATTAAAGGACTTAAAATATTGTTTATTAAAGGCAATGGAGGAAAAAGTGACACCCTAAAGATGAGACACAAAATGATGTGCATTTTTCTTTCCTCGTTATGAAGCCAACATTTGCCTTGTGGTTAAGCCAAAATATAAATAAATCTCCAAATGATTTCTCAATGACTCAACCATAGCCCATCAAAGAAAAAGATTGATAGACATGTTCTATTACAACATTGAGTTCCAAAAGTTTTGTACGTCAACAAAAAGCACTAAGAGGTAAATACTTAAGGGTGTGTTTGTTTCGTTTTTTTTTTTAGTGTGTGTTTTTAGGTATTTTTGTATTGAAAATGTAAAAAATGTATTGAAAATATAAAAAGATATGTTGTGATGGGACATATATTATTATATTATTCTAAAAAAATTATGAGAAAAAGGAAACAAATAGAGCTTAAACGATTGGAAATGTAACCAGAGATGAATGGATTGGTATCTAATTATAAAATACTACTGATGTATAAATATTTGTATTGGTGGCTTTTTAAGGATTTTCTTTTGCTCCCTCCACACACACATTACACGCACCAGACAAAAACACTACCCACGCCTTATTTTCATCACACAGCACAAATCACACATACACAATGCTTCACTTTAAAATGGAATATCCCCATTTTGATTGCAGTAATTATTCCCTCTTTATTAATTCTTCTGTGAAAATGACAAATTTGGCCCCTCAAATTGGGCAATTTATTCTTGTTGCTCCAATTTTTATGGGAATAACCAGAATTTTCTTTTAAAATTATTTATAGGTACGTATACATTAGTTACAACATTTATAAAAAAAGAAAGGTTGTTGTTATAAAGGGTAGCAAAAAAAATAATAATGGAATAATTAAGGGGAAAAAAAGAATAATGAGGAATATAAATAGAAAATTTAAAGGGTAAAAACAAAATAAAAGAAAAACAATACTTAAAAATAAAAATACAGCCCCCTCCCTTTCTTTTTCTCTCTCTGTGCTGTCCCTCTCTCTATTACACATAACATTAAATTTTAACATACCAAAAAATACACCAAAGGAAGAAACTTTTTGCACATTAGCAACCGATTTTGTTTCTGCGATTGATTTTTTCATCAAGGCACTCAATCACCGGTTCTGGGTTTGAATTTGGGTTTGGATTGTTTCGGTCTATTCCTCTGCACATTAACTTTTTGTTATTTTGGAAGGGGAAAGAGTTGGGTTGTAAAAAAAGTTGTGGTTTTGCCTATATGTGTATGATCAAGTGGGTTGTACGGTGTTACGGTGGGGTCCTCGTGGGGAGGAATTTTGGACGTGTTTGAGGGATTGCTTGGAGGGATTTTTCTGGGTTTTCAGAGTGGTTTTGTGGGTTGGAAGTAGATTTCCGGAATTTGTTTTAACTTAACTTATGTTGGACTTCAGGATAGGTTTAGAATGGGTTAGGGTTTTGGGGATTCTGTTTGTGAGTTTGTGAAATTGAGTTTTAGGGTTTTGTTATTATCAATGGGTTGGAGCAGTGGGCCTCCAAGGATGGTGGAAGGGGAGGCTGACCTTGAAGAAGGTGAGGCGGCTGTTGATGATGATAAAAGCATCGACCTTGAAAGGGATCTCTCTTACCTTGTAAGAGCTCTGTTCTGTTTGATATGTGTAAAAGTTGAGATTTTTACTTCTTTTGTTGCTTAATCTTGAAGAAGAAAGGGATTTTTGATACTATTGCAAAAGACAAACAAACTAACTTAAAAAGATAGAAGATCACTTATTGCATTGAGTTGTTGGCTGGAGAACCCGTTTATGGTCACTTAATTAGTTAATTGAAGTTAATTTTCTTGATGATTTTAAGTAACCTGACAACAGAATTGTAATCTAGAGTTGTGGTTTTGAAACCTTCAAATTATAAGAACTCCCGTAAGGTTGTGTAGTATGTTGATCGGAAATGTGGAATTTAATGTGGCAAGAATAAAGTAGGTATCTTTCTAGATAGAAGCACCTTTGGATTTTTTCTGCAAATTGGCTTCTGGGACTGGAGTTTTTATCCCTAAATAGGGCTTTCTACCGTTGTCTGCCTCCTTCTACCTTGGAATTGTGCACAGGTCCTATGATCTGCTGTTGTGATTTCTTTTACTTCTTGATAAGATTTAGTATGTATTTGAATTGGTTAGGAGTTTTGGTCATGTTTATCATACTTTACGACTCTCTGTGAAGAGTTTTAGGTACCTCCACCCTTAAAAGAGTTTGTGTTATCTACAAGTGGAATTTATGATGATGTTCTCTTAGTGCCTTGGTAAAAGGAGTACCAGTACTATATGATTTTTGTTCGGAGGCTTGAACTTTTAGTTTTTGCATTGATCATTTGGTGTTTGATTTCTAACACGTACCACCCACATTTATCTGTATGCAAATTTGTTTTATTATGCTGCATGTTTTCCAATTTTTCCTTTCAAAATGTTGGTGCCAGTAATTCTGTGCTTTCTTTGCTGAAGGATGAGAAGGTTCAAAGTGTTCTGGGCCATTTTCAGAAAGATTTTGAAGGTGGACTTTCCGCTGAAGATTTGGGTGAGTATGCAAAAGTTGAACTTTCTAGTCAAAGAAGAGGTGTAAACTCTTCTTTCTCCTGTATAAAGAGATGACATGAGGCTTGCTTATGTTGATAGGGGCAACATACGGTGGTTACGGTTCTTTTCTGCCCACATACCAACGGGCACCTATTAAGTCTCAACCTAAGAGTCCACAAAGAGTTCAAATTCACAGCAATGCAAGGTCTCCTATCTCCTTGCGTAGGGAGGTATATTGATTTGTTTAGTAATTATTTTATTCTATAGTCGTTTTGTGCGTAGGGAGGGAATTTGACTGAACTTGTGTAGACTTTGAACCACTTTGCTGTGGACTCTATTGCAATACAGGGTAGTGCACAAACTGCAACTGCACTTCCTGATGTGCCTTTTTCTCAGAGGAAGGGCACGGCTGCAACCTGTGGTATGCAAACCTTCCAGGAAATTATGGTCCCGTCAGCAGATAGTTCTGTCAGACAAGATTCTTCCTTGGCTTCTGCTCCAGTTGGTGAAAAATTTCCCAAGAAACATCAACAGGCCACTGATAGGCCAGTAGTTGTAAATGAAAAGAGGACATTAAAGTTTAGGATCAAAGTAGGTTCTGATAAGGGAACACAAAAGAATGCAGCCATTTATAGTGGTCTTGGTCTAACATCTCCATCTTCTTCAACTGGAAACAGTCTTGGAGAAAGTGAAGGAAATTTGTTTGGTTCTCGGGAAACTCCTGGCCAATCATTGTCCTCCATTCTTCAGGTACTTCTGTTTCAGAAATCTCAAATTTCACAGTTTCAAGTCTGATAGATGTAGTCTGATTTTTGCCTTTCTTTTCCCTTCACAATAGATGCTGACTTCTGTTGTGGTTACCGGAGGCCTGCTTGTTTCACCTCTTCGTGATCATTTTCTTAGCTTTAATAGTAAATTTCCGAAGGAAAGTAAACCTGGGGCCACAATCATGCTTAAGCGCAATAAATCTGCTACCTCTGCTGATGATTCCACTTCCCTGTCGAGGGAAGATTTACTGACAAAAAAGCCAACAGAAGTTAGGAAGAGTGACATGCGCAAGGAAGCAAAATATGGGAATGGAAAGGCTTTTGAGGATGATATGCACTCTCGTTTAAAGGATAGCTCTGGAGCCCAGATGCTGCAAAACAAACAGTCCTTGGCTTCTGATGTGCCTGAAAAACGTACATCTGAGTCTGTGGAGGGCTCAGCCAAAGCCATTGGAACTTCTCGAGAGTGTGATGATGGTGCTCTATCTAGCAAAAGGGGGGTCAGTAAGGCTACAATGAAGGATAGGGATACGGGGAACGAGTTAGTCAATGGCGAGTCCCTCGAGTCAATTTCTGGCCAAAACGGTGGCAAATTTAACCATCGAGAAGCTAAAGGTGTCTCATTACAGTTGGCTATGAAGAAAGAAAGGATAAGTTCTCAGAAAGATCTACCGAGTGGTTATAGTGAAGGTCCCAGGGCAAATGCCCAGATTAATCCTGCTTCTGTTAGAGGTGACACTGATGTTTCGGAGGGCGAGGGAGATTGTAAAGGGCATGACAGTCTTCTGATGCTGAAGCCTCGAATGAAAACTTCTTCCAGTGAACAAGGTGAATTGAGAATGGTTGATACAGACAGTAAGTTTTCATTAGAAAATAAAAAGAACTCAAAGAGAGCTGAAGTTAAAGGCAGAGTGTCCTCAAATTCGGTTCTGATAAGTAGGAAGGCTGGGGTTTCTGTTGTAGTAAAAGAAAAAGGTATAAAGAGGGATTCATGTAAAGTCTATGAGAGTCGTGAAGATTTGTTAGAGACAAACTCTCAAATAAGGAATAAAGGAGTGGATATGTTGGAGGCCAACACCGGGGGTAGAGTGAAGGAACTAAAATTGGATACCGTGAAAGAAAAGAATGCACATGATAGATCGAAGGAGAAACTAAAGAAGTTTGATGACTCCGGGATATCTGGATCACTGCTGAAAGATCCTCCATCTGTTGGTCTTCTTCCTAATACTGGGCCAATTTTGGGTGGAGAACAGGCTGCATCTGCTCCTGTTCTGATTGAGGAGCATTGGGTCTGCTGTGACAGTTGTCAGAAATGGCGTCTTCTGCCCTTTGGTATGAAACCTGAGGATCTACCAGAGAAGTGGTTATGCCGCATGCTAAATTGGCTGTAAGTTCTTTCAGTTTATAATTTGTGCTTACTGCTATCAAATTAAAACACAGTTTCATTTGGTTTATTCTTTAGTGCTAGGAAGTTGAGGTTATAACTGATGTTATGTTTACTAGAATGGAGATGCCGTTCAGTGGCTAAATATATATATTTTTTTGTTTAGTTACTGATTCTGTTTTATTATATATCATTGGTATGTTGTTTATTTGTCTGTCTGCAGTAGTATATGTGTAAGATGCAGAAGAAGCTATTAAAAGGGTTATACATGTTATGTTTTGTCAATCTTCTAGGCCTGGAATGAACCGTTGTGACATTAGTGAAGAGGAGACAACTAAGGCTCTCCAAGCTTTAAGTCAGCTTCCTCCTCCGGAGAATCAACCAGGTTTTCAAGTTCATGCAGACAAGTCTGCAAGTGGAGTATATCCAGTTGATCAACAGTTAGTGAACCATAACAATCAGAATCTCAGTATTGATCACATGCATACTGGAAGAAAGAAGATTCACAAAGCAAAAGATTCAGTAGTCCCTTTCAGCAAGGTGAAAAACTTTCAACAGGATGTGGTCAAAAGGGAAAGTTCAAAAGATGGGAAACAGCAACTTTTGGCATCAAAAACGAATTATATACCAAGTAGTCACCATTCCAATAAGCCAGAAATTGTGGTAAAAAAAGAGCATTCTGATAGGCAGAACCTGGATTTTGTAACTGGAGGTTTGTCATTCATTTTGTACATGAAACTTGTTTTTTTTTTGTTGTTTTACTGTATGGGATAAACTTTTTTGATGTTAAATCTTTGAAGGTGATGCCAAACCAAAGAAAAAGGTCAAAAGAGAGTTGGATCAGGAGGATCATGAGATTCAGAAAAGAATTAAAACTGAGAATGCTTCTACCATTGAAAACTTCCATAATTCTACTCCATGCCATGGCAGGCTGAGGTTCAGTTTGAATAATATCCCAATAACTAGGGCCTCTATAAAAGATGAGGATTATTTTCCAAAAGAATTGAAATTTGATGCAAGGAATGGGTTACAAAGTTCTACAAGGAAATCAAGGAACGATGCATCAGGTTTACCGGACACTGAGCAACGGGGTATGGTGAGAAAATCTAATGACAAGGAGAAACCTTCGAAGAAAAGAAAATTGAAGGATGGGAGAAACGATTCAGAGATTCTGCCCAGTGAAGGAAGTCAGCTTTGTGACAGAAATGTTGCTGTCAAGGAAGAAAGCAGCGACATTGGATTCACTCGGAACAAAAAACCAAGGGTGTTGCAGACTGATGGAAAGGACTCCGGGAGAAATAAGTGTACTCCTGATCTTAAAAGGATGAAAACCAGAGTAAAAATTCCTTCTCAAATTACTATGGAAGATTTGGAGTCTCTGAAAAAAGATTTGGGATGTGACCCAGTGTCAACTGCTGCCACATCAAGCTCTTCAAAGGTTTCTGATTCCCGCAAAACTAGAAGCAGTTACCAGGAAATGAAAGGATCACCAGTTGAATCAGTTTCATCATCTCCCATTAGGATGTTCATTAGGAATAAACTTTCACCAAAAAGTGCTGTCTTGGGGTTAGATGATTCCAAAGCAGGTGAGTTTCCGGCAAACAGAAGCCACAGAAACTTTGTTGCTGGAGATGGTAATTATGTTTCCAAAAGAAATGGGATGCCTAAGAAGAGGCAAAGCTCTAATGTGCTGCAACCAGAAGCTAATGACAATCCTTTGATGAACTTGCTGGGGACTGGAGCTGAGGACAAATTTCGTGGGGAAAGCAAAGTAGGGATTGAACCTTCCACTTTGCACGGAAACAGCACTGACAATAATCCTGATCTCTTGGAAGGACATTCACCATACCCCCTTGATCTACGGGCTTCACAACTTGACAAAGATAGGACCAAAATCCAGGGTAGCATTCATGGGATATCTTTGAAGGCTTCCTCTTTTCCAAAGGACAAGAAGTGTAATTTGAATTCCTTAGGAGCTTTAGAGACAGCCTGTGACCAACTAAATGCTCCAGGGGTCCTAAATTTAAGGAGAAGCTCAAAGGTGGAGACAGAAACTCTTCGAAGTCATGGTGCTGCCTCTGGTGTTGCCAACGATGCAAAACAAACTTTTTTGGATCAATCCGGCTACAAATCTGCCAAAGGTAATGAGAATGGCGTAAAGAGGGAGTCAAGAAAACTACCTGATGGCAGTAGAGACGACATTATGCAAGCTGGAGAGAGAACTGGTTCGGGATTAAGTAATTCTGGGGCCCAAGTGACAAAGAACCTTTCAACAAAAGAAGACTGCGGGAGTGCAAAATCGAAGGTTGACCATCATTCGGAAGATGATCATGAAGTTTCTGCTAGCAAATCGACTCCAGAAACCCTAAATGGAAGTCATCTGCATGTACAGTCACATGATGTTTCCACCTTTAATGAAGTACCGAAGTTGTCTAAGGATCCTAGCCGCACAGTTAACCAAAACGAACCTCGCAAGATCATTGGTCGTCCTGTGCCTGATCAACATGTAGTTCAAGATACCAATCGTCTAGACCTGTCAAGAAAGGATGTCTCTTGTCATGTTCCATTGGCACTAAAAGAAGCTGAAGAGCTTAGACGTTATGCTGATCAAATAAAGGTTCTTTCATGTGACTAATTTTCATTTCCTTTTTCTTTTAAAGTGACGTTAATTTGAATCTTTTTGCATGTCTCTTTTATATTTGCCTCCATGTCAACCTTTTGAAGTGAAATAATCACGGTAAGCTTTATTACTGGATTTCACAGGTTTCGGGCTTTGTATTTGAATGTAACGAGACTTACTTCCAAGCTGCTTTAAAATTTCTTCATGGAGCTTCTCTTTTGGAGAATGATTCATACAGAGAGTTGAATCAAATACAAATCTACTTGAGTGCTGCAAAACTTTTCGAGTAAGTAATTTGAAGTTTCATTTCCTTTTTTCTCTGTTCCGAATCTTGTAATCTTTGATTGGCTGGCAAAGCGCACTTCCTAGTATTGCACAGACTTTTAGGTAGATGATGAAGTTAGTATCTTGTAATGTTCAAGTGCTAGGAGGAAGTCGTAGAACTATATTTTTCTCTCTGTAGTGGGTCTTGGGGGGGTTGGGGGGTGCGGATGATTGAAGAGAAATAGAAGGATCGGAGCTTGTTATTTGGCTGGAATTCGTATGCCTGATGTTAATCTTAAAAAGCATGTCTTGAACTATTCTTACACTATCATCAGTCAAAAACCTCTCCATTTTATTGACCATGGGATCAATAACACATGCAGATCATGTGCCCATGAATATGAACAGCAACAGGAAATGGCCCCAGCAGCGTTGACTTATAAATGCATGGAGGTGGCATACATGAAGGTGGTTTATTGTAAAAGTTCAAATTCCAGTAAACACTGGCATGAGTTGCAAGCAAGTTTGCAAAATGCAACTCAAGGTATATAGCTCACTCTTACACGACGACCTGCCTTATCCTTCTTTTGTTATTGCCATACTGGGAAAGGCTAAGCCATGTAGGACCTTCTAGTACATTGTTGGTAGTTGCTTTATAGCACCTTCTGTGTTATTGATTATTAAAAAGGTGGGATACCTAATCTTGGTTCGCGGTTGGGTGTGTGATGACATAATGTTATTTATCATCTCATGAATATTTAGCATGTAGGGCATTTCTTTTTGCAATGAATGTCATAAGTTCCACCTGAGAGCTTGTTTTACTTTGTGGTTCGTGAAACCCGATGAGCACATGACTTTTTTCTGTTTGTTAATAGCAATGCATTGAGAGGGATAGTTTTTGTCAAATTTCCAGCCCTTGTTCGTTTGTCTATAGTGCCTCTCTTTGATTATTGCATAGGAATCTCTTTCAAGGTACCATAAGTAAAAAAGTTTTTAGTGTGTACAACAACTTTCCAACTATATGGTGCATTTTTAAGATGTATTGTTAATGCTATTCAATGTATTGCCAAATTTTGGAAAATGGTAGCCATGATTCCGAAGGATATGTTAGGTTTCTGTTTGACGAGTTTATTACCTTTTTCTTAGGTGAATCTCCTTCATCTTCTGCATCTGATATTGATCATTTGAACAATCAAGTTGTGGTGGAGAAGGCTCCATTATCTAAAAGCGATGGTTCTTCTTCTGGGAGTCATGTTATAGCTCCCAAAAACCGTCCAAACTTTGTCCGGCTGCTTGATTTTGTAAGTGGTGCTGTCTCTGCTATGGTCTTTTCTTCTTTATGCTCTTGGATTTTGTTATCATTTAGTTGGCTTTCAGTAGTTCTTCTTCTGGAAGATTACATGGATACTTAGTAGTCAATGTCATCCCCTTTGTTTTTTTCCATTTTTGCCAGACCAAAGATGTGAATTCTGCTATGGAGGCCTCAGAAAAATCCCAGAATGCTTTTGTGGCAGCAAATTTAATTCTTGAAAAGGCTAAAAATGAGGAAGGAAAAATTGCTCTGAAAAGGGTCATTGATTTCAACTTTCAGGATGTAGAGGAATTTGTACATTTAGTGCGGATCGCGGTTGAGTCCATTAGTCGGAAAGGTTTTGGCGGCAGTAGAGATTAACATTGTACATAACGTGTTCCGGTGCTTTAACCGTCACAGGTGCAGGGATTTGGATTCGACGACACACACGCTGCAACTCGCTATTCATTGAAAAGATGAAGAATCGCAGCTTAGTTTTACCCTTGTGTATATGTGTATAAAGTGGGATAGTTTTGTTAGTTTCATGGTAGTATTAAGATATGGATTTTTCAACTGTGTCTAACAAGATAAAGGGCATAGCATGATTATTTAACCCCTTGAATTAGTGGGGTTGTTGAGTAGAGAGAAAAAGTTAGAATTTTTAGCTGTTTTAAGAGGAATTTAGAGTGCAATTTTGATAAATTCAATCACATTGAAGGCCAGAGGGAACATTGGTGATTTAGCTGTTGAGCAAACTCAGTTAAATTAGCTGCGGGAAACTGTATACAGATACAGATGTAGTTTTGACTAGCCCATTGATGGTCTTTCTCAATTATTTACTCTCCCAATTTTGATGTCTTTGAGTTTGATGTCTTGAATCAGCTAACTTGTTGTGTGCGGTGCAGTAATTGATGTGCAGCCAAATTCAAGTATGTATATATTAGACATTTTTATTTCCTTTATAAACCAAAAAAAAATAAAAATCCTGTGTTCTTGAAAGATTGGAATTGTTATTACTGCATTGAATTATCTGTCGTGATAAGTGAATTATTAAAGTGAGACTGATATCGCCATATAAGTTTCCCTGCAATTAGAGGGCAGGGAGCAGCTTATGGTGGTCTTTGTCAAAGGAATTCTTGGCATTGATATACTTGACAATTGCCAGTAAAAGTGAGTATAAAAACAAGTCTACAAAATCTTGGCTGTAACTCCATGACCATGTAAATAACATTGGTTTAGGCTAGAAACTGACTGTATTTTTTTTTTTTTTTTTCTGTGAGGTGGGGGTATAATAGTCCAGCAAGTTTTGGACCTAGAAACGACAGTAACTGTATGTGTAAAATCTCTAAAGCCTTAATTCTTTATTGTATATAGTAAAAAAAATTAATAAATAATGAAGTCTTTAAGTTAATTTTTCCATGTATATACGGAGAAAACGTGTAACAAACACATTAAAAAAATTACAACCACAAGTCAGATCAAATATTCTGATTTTACGGGAGTAATAATCCACGAAAAGGTTATGTTTCGGAATTTGGTTTACTTAGTACGGTTAAATATATGTAGAATTTACATAGATAGTAACTCGGTCTAAAAATATGGTTTTACTACATATCCCGAAATAATAATAATAATCATTATATATCCTACTATATTAGAAACAAAAACTTCTCTTTCAAACAACTCATATGATTGCCACGTGGCATATCGAAAGTACTAAATTGCCCTTTTGTCTAAACCATAACTAAATTACTAAATCTCCTACTATATTAGAAACAAAAACCTTCCTTTCAAACACCTCATATGATTGCCACGTGGCATATAGAAAGTACTAAATTGCCCTTTTATCTAAACCATAACTAAATTACTAAATCTCCCTTTGCACTTTACGTGACACGTTTTTTTTAAAAAAAAAATTTTCTTTATGTTTCATTCATTTAGAGTAGTTTTTTAAGTTAAATTGATCAATTAGGTTTTTGTTACAAAGTGTCAATTTTGTTTTAAGCGTATACCCTGCGGATGAAGCTTATTACAAAGCTATTAAAAATCTCAAAACTAAGTATTCATTTGGCACGACCGAACATCAATAAATCATCTTACTAATATTTAAATTTATTAGGATGTTTTTATATTTTATCTAACATTTACTTCAATACATATATTCGATTAAGGCTATTTATATTTAATAAGTAACACTTATAAAATATTTCTATAACTTACATGGCGAAATACAATTTCTTTTTTTTTTTTGTGAAATACAATTATTTCTATGATCACACTTATAAAACATTTCTAAATCCTTCAAACATTTCTAAAATATATCGCTCCAAATACAAAATTTTATTTTTTTCAAATATAACTATTTCTAAGATTTACAGATAGACTGGGCCAGAGTCGCGCGTTGCGCGACCAGACATCATTAGTATTAAAAGAAAGAAAGATAATCGACACGTGTTGCTCATTGAAACCATCAAATCTCAATTAACACTTGTCATTTGCTAATTGGTTGATCATTAATCAGTTAAAATTTTTTGTAAACAGTTAATAAATTATTTACTACTCCTTCTGTCCCACAAAAATAATCCAATTTAATAAAAAATTTTATCCTAAAAAAATAGTCCAATTTAACAAAAATCAAAATTCATTGAATTGAAATGACATAAATATCTAAAAGAGTAGTGGTATGAAAAACAAGTTACACTTACTTTGATTTTTATTTTTTTTAGTTTTCTCTAATTTTTTCAAATGATTATATCTTTTAATACATGAATAATTAAAAAATGTGTTATATATCAAATTAATGTACGTAACGAGATCTTTCCATCAAGATCCACTGTCAATATTTTTTGAGATAAAAATTTTGATCAAATTTAAGTTTTAAAATAAATGCATATGTAGTTAACTTTTATAGAAATAACTAGAAGGGACATTAGTGGAAGTTAGGAGAATGAAATGAGTTCTACATTTAGTGTATTGACCAAATTAAAAAAGTTATATAGTTTCTAACTGGATTATTTTTGTGGCATGGAGGGAGTATATAAGATTTTTACAGATATTACAAATTAATGATTGTGAACTTGAAAATGAATATTTTTGAAAATGACTGAGAAACTCCCGACTTCAAAAGTCCTTTCATTTACGAGTTCAAACTTTCAATCTATTGTCATTTTGGTCCTTAAAGTTCCATTTGTGTGCTATTTAGGTTTCAAGTTTATCGATTTTACATTTTCAAGGACGATTAATTGTATCTCATATTTTATTAGAACTACATCTAATCCCCAAAGTCCACTTTCTTATAAAAATAGGCCATATGCATCTAGACATAATTTACGTGTTTTTTAAATATATTTTTTAAACCAAACATAACATTAGTTAGTGGTGACAATTTTTTAAACCATATGCATCTAGACATAATTTACGTATTTTTTAAATATATTTTTTAAACCAAACATAACATTAGTTAGTGGCGACAATTTTTATTATACAACTTTTTGAAAATCTTTGTTGTAATATTTTTTACCAGATCTTACAAATATACCTCTCATAAATAATATCAATACCTCTCATTTTGATCTAAAACTGATTAATCAAAATAATATTACAGTTTTAAGAAATATTAGTAACTATTTTTTTAAGAAAATAAGGACGGTATATTTGTAACTACATTATCTAATCAATTCTTTTGAAATATAAATTTTCAACATTGACAAAGCCGCAATACACACTAGTATATGGAAAACAAAAGAAATTTTAATCTGACAAGGCAACAATATCATATATCAAATCCCAATCCAAAAAAAGATTATATCAATGATACAGATAGAATCCCATCTCAAAATAGATTTTCATAATAGATTGTCAAACTAACAAAATCCCATCAAAATCTCCACCACCGTTAATAATTATTCTTGTTTCCTTCATCCACTTCTTTCCTAATATATGAAATTTTCCCCTCTTTTTTAGGGAAAAAATAAGAGACCAAAAGAAGGACTTGAATCTGATCACCAAAAATTAAGCCATGCAAGAAGATCAAGAAGAAGAGGAGAAACCATATCTATGGTTGCCACAAGAAATCATCCACCATATTTTATATTATCTCAACCCCAAAAAAAGAGCCCAATCTAGCACCATATCCAAGGATTGGCTTTATGCATGTAGAACAAATCCAAGATTGGATTTTGATGACAGCTTCTTCAATGTTAACAAGGGTTATAATCTTCAAGAAAGATTTGGTGATTATGTCAACAACACTTTGGCAAATTTCCAAGGTCCCAACATCAAGGAGTTCCATCTTTCAATGGTCATGATGCCAGGTGATGATGCAATTTCCTCATCTTCTGTTGACCAATGGGTTTATTTTGCCATGAAAAAAAAAGTCCAAGTTCTTCACATCACACTCCCTGAATTAGATAGTAATTCCTATAAGTTGCCTTCCAAGATCCTAGGATTTGAATACTTGACGAAGTTGCATGTCAATAGGTGTAAGTTCCCAAACCCTAATTTTAATCATGGATCTTTAACTTTATGGAAGAATTTGAGGGTGTTACATCTCATAAGTGTTTACAACCTTAGTACGGAAATCTTGGATTGGTTGATTTCGGTATGCCCTTTGATTCACGACTTGAAGATTTCTGACCACTATGATGAATTAGACCAAATTAGGGTTTTCGATCTCCCAAGCCTTCGGATGTTATGGATTGAGGAGGGTTACTCTAGTGAGACACGATTGATCGAGGTGATGAACGTGCCGGATCTCGAAACCATGGTTGTGGAATTAGGGTTTGGACGGTGTACATTAACGTTACATCCATGTCCTAATTTGAAGAGCTTGTCGCTCAAGAATGCAAATCTCAAAGATGAATTCTTTGAGACATTGACGGATAAGTTTCCTACACTAGAGTGCCTTGAATTAACAGGTTGTTTTGGGTTCAAGAAGAAAACTTTTCCGACCCGCCACCATAAGCTGAAGGTGTTACGCATATCTGAATCATGGGATGATGATGGATGAGGCTAAGCTAAAGTTATTGTTTTGATTTTTTTTTTTGGGTTCCCCCCTTGGATGCTAAATTAGGGGTTTCTCGTGATGGATGATGTTTTTTCTTGGATGCTCTAACGCAACAGTAAAGGTGGCAGATTAGGGTTGTTGTCAGAGATAACTTGATCCACGAAAAATACCACGTCAGTTGATTTATAATTTCACTTTGGTCTTAATTTTACTATTTTAATTTGTTTTTATTTTTGTGGAAAGTAAGTAGCTAGATTAGTGACTTTGCTATGGATGTATATGCATGAGTGGGTTTTCTTCTATATATTCAAAAATCACAATCAATCACTTTCATAATATAGTAAAGCTAGAACCCACATAGGTATGACTTAATCGAAATCAAATTAGAAGTAAAGCTGAAATAGTTTTAGAACCAATAGTTTTAAATCAAACCCTAACATAGTTCATATTGGATTCCATATATCTTGGAAGTTTGTGTACCATGGACAATTTTAACTTGATGAAATTCGTTACACGTACGGCATCTATTATTTTGACACGTTCACAACTTGTTCATATAAAATGACATAGGATACTTTATAAATATTGTTTACACCCAAAGCATAATGACTCAAGAATACAAAACACGATCCGATAGACATCCAAACACAAATTCATGAGCCAAATACCACTCAAATGGAAAAATGAACAGTTGGAACTAAACATAAGTTGTTTTTCCTCTTAAGAGAGGCACCAAGCATCTCGGTCATGTTAAGGCATTCAGGTTTGATTCCACGAGGGATTTCCCAGTCAAAATGGTAGAGCAATTGAGCAAGAGCAAGTTCCATCACTGCTGAACTAAATGCAGTTCCAGGGCACATCCTTTTTCCTCCTCCAAATGGAATATACTCAAAGTTAGTTCCCATGGTATCAATCCCATTCATTTCTTGAAATCTCTCGGGCGTAAATAATTCCGCAGCTTCCCAATACTCTCGATCCCTGTTGATTGCCCAAGCATTGACAAAGACTTTGGTCCCTACAGGAATTTCATACCCTTCAATCTCACATTTCTCCATACACTCTCTCTAGGGAGCAACATTGGAACAGGAGGATGAAGTCTTAAAGTTTCTTTTATCACGAGTTTTTAAGTAATTTAATCCTCTCAAATACGCCTCGCTTATTCGGGTCTTTGCCTTGCCAACTATACCTCTCACTTCATCTTGTGCTATTCTTAGGACTCTTGGATTTCTCATCATTTCTGACATTGCCCATAAAATCGTCGAGGCCGAAGTGTACGATGTTAAAATAAAGAGAGGAGTGCAATGGTATGTTTTTTCCTGCCATTTCTGATACTCTAATATGGGAATAGAGGAGTGGAATGAATTATTGAAAGATCTCAATTATGTAAAAGACATCATGCATGATGCATGCAACCGGTTTTTACAAAATAAGTAGTAAATGACAAAAGTCTCGAATGGCATCCATGCTAGGATCTTCATGTTAGGAATATTATACCAGAATTATTGTAAGAAGACTATAATTTTTTCTAAAAATAAAAAAATATGCAAAAGAAGGTTTTATTTTCTAAGCTCAAAAAAAAAAGGAGTATTAAAGTGTAATGGATTCAAATTGCAAAGAAAAGATAATTTTTTTTTTTTTGGTGTTAAGCCTACATACGTTCTTTATAATCGAAGACTTAATTAGTATCTGTAAAAAATCAGATGAAGTTTAGGGATCAAAGGTGTAATACTCTCTCAGTCTCTTGCGTCTTCCCTTTTCTTTTCTTCATTATTATAATTCGTCGACGTTTGATTCCCATTTATCTTTTAGAACCTGGAAAAAGATAATATATTTGAGGATATTGACAAATGACAGGTTGATAGAACTCGAAGTAGTCAGCGTGGAGCTAGCGAATTTAATCACACTTACGTAAATTCCAAATTAATTTGGGGAGACCAAAGGAAAGGTAAAGGAAATTTGGAGAAAGGAAACAATTAACATATCATCAATATTCAATACGGTGAGGAATAGCGATTATTTTACCCCAAAAAAAAATAAAAAATAAAATGCACAATTAGTGATGGTTTGATGACTAAAGTTCTTGGCTTGTATATCTTGTAAGACGAATCTGGTTAACTGTTAACATATGATTCTTTGTGTATATATGTAGTTTACAAAATAAGAATGCGATCAAGACGAAAATTCTTCTAAAGAAACTAAATCATAGCTTATCCGTTCAAAATGTAAGAGATAAATTTTCTTAATATTGAAAGCATCCCCGTTATATATACATATATATATATATATACTAGTGATGTCAATGCGCGACCCTGGCCCAATATATCTGTAGATCTTAGAAATATTTATATCTAGAAAAAAAATATTTTGTATTTGGCCCGATATATTTTAGAAATTTTTGAAGAATTTAGAAATGTTTTATAACTGTGATCATAGAAATGTTTGTATTTGGCATAAAAAGAAATTGTATTTGGTCCGGTACATTTTAGAAAATGTTTGAAGATTTTAGAAATGTTTTATAAGTGTTACTTCTTAAATATGAATAAACTTGATCAAATATATGTCTTGAAGTAAATGTTAGACAAAATATGAAAGCATGCCAATAAGTTTAAATATTAGTAAGATAATTTATTGATGTTCTCCATTGGTTGTGCCAAATCAATACTTAGTTTTGAAAATTTATAATAGCTTTGTAGTAAGCTTCCTCCCAAGGGTATATGCTTAATTGTTGGAACTATTTCTTCCAAAATTTTATAGGTAGTAAAATATAAAATATATGATTTTGAAACTGGTTAATTGTTGAAACTGGTTGATCACAAATATGAGAATGAAAATAATGTAAATTTACATAGGTATCAAGTTATAGCAAAAAACAACTCACCTCATCATGGCAAATAAAGAAAAAAAAAAAAGAAATTAAAAGATAGCCCATTTAAAATTGAGAAATTTATTTGTATAAAAACACAAATAAACGTAGAAACATCATTCCTTCCCTCTCCGCCTCAAATTCATAAAAGGCCTCCCTATAAATTAATTAGAAGAAGCGACCTGAACTATTTATATGATGAGGAACTAAAAAAAGTCCAAAAATCAAATCCAAAAAAGTATATTCTTGAAAGCCCGAACACAAAAAAAACGCGTTTCATTTGCAAATAAAATAATAATAATAATAATAATAATAATAATAATGATGATGATGATAATGATGATAATAATAATAATAATAATAATAATAATAATAATAATAATAATAATAATAATAATAATTGGTCAACTGTGAGTATGAAACAAAATCAAAAGCAATTAAACAAAGAAAAAACATACTTCATTACTGACCATATACGAAAAAAAAAATCGAGACTCCATAATTAAAAAAAAAAACTCTAATTGAATGAAATATAAAAAAGAAATTTAAAAAACCAAATTTTCTAACAAAAATCCATTAATGAATTCAATCCAAACAGAACTAAAATCATACAAAACTTCTAGGCTAATTAACCATATAAGAAATCACATCATATTACATGACAACGACTACGGTAATCGTAACAGACGGACGTATAAAAATAATAGTAATAATTCTATTCTTGAACGGAAAAAACAAAAAATAATAAAAACCAAACAAATGATCTGTGGAAATAAAATCATTTAAATTTTAATACCTATAATTGCACCACCACAATGGCCGAAGCAAGATCAATGAGAATTTTTTTTTTCTTTGTATTTATATAGAGAGGTGAAGAGAATATTTTTTGAAGTCGAAATTTTATCTGATTAGGATGTAGTTGATCATCACTAATGAAAAGATTGAACATGCTAATTAGAATGGAGTATATTTCACCATATATTCTCAATTGATGATTGATGAGGAATTTGTTTTTTTTATTGTGGAGAAAGAATTGATTAGGGAGTCCATTGTGGTAGAAATGTGGATAAGGATTTGAGTTTTTTATGAACCCATGGTTTCTTTTTTTTTGGCGAAAATCGGAGGTGGAAGTGGATTTAGACTGCATTTACCTTTTAAGTCTAGGAGATGTGAAAATAAATTTATTTTAAAAATATGATGTGAAAATGCCACATGGCAAATGGTGGTATTTTCTCTTAAGTGTGGTTTTTGTTTCTAATATAATAAGATATATATATATATATATATATAAACCTTGCAAACATTTTTTTTTTTTTTTTGTTTAAAGGTGGTAAAATGCAGAAAGTCTCGAATGGCATCAAGGCTAGGGTCTTTATGTAGGAATATTACGTTAGACTGTAAGAACAATAACAAAAGAAAGTAGTCATTGACTCATTTCTTTTGATGGTGATTGGTGAACATGCGATCCATAAGTAGAAAAAGACATTAAAGAATAAAGAACTAAAATTCTTGACGGTATTTATACAAATAAAAGTTTTCAATGTTTAACGAAAAAAATCACTTATAAGCACTTATATCACTACTATCCGTTTGTTAAAAATTTTCAAGGAGAGTTAAAGGTCGACGTATATACTCTAGATCGTCTTTGTACTAACATCAAGCAACTCCAAATCAAAAAAAAAAAAAAAAAGTATAGAAAAAGTAAAGAAAATTTATATGCCGGCTTTGTAGGATTTAATCTATATCGAAAGACCCAAAAGTAAAAATGGTTATTGGAGAATAAGAGCATTTCTTTACAGGGAATGTCGCTCCATTATTTGGTAGAGTAAATGTGAACCACGCTTTGAATCCAAACTCGCGAATCAATCATGAGTGGAGATGTCTTGATAGCAAATGTTAAATTCAAAGATAATCTATTTTGTTAAACTAAAACAATACAATAATCAGTTTTCTGACCAAAGCCAATAATCCAAAATTAAAATTCCACAATCCGAAATGCCGCTTACAAGTGATCATCAAATATATAAAACGATGAATCATGCTACAACATGCTTAATTTTATTGAATTCTTCACCAATACGAGGAACAATATATGTTACTAATAAATGTGTAAAAATTGTTGTCTCTCGATGAGTATTGAGTTACTAGTAAACAAGTTGTAATTTGTACTCTCGCGTCTTTCTTTCGTGTCCATTTTATGGTACTGTTATAGTTCAATAAAACATATTGAAAAAAATGGTACTGTTATAGTTCAATAAAACATATTGAAACGGATTAAGTAATTTACAATGAAAAGATTTAACATTATAAGTTGTAGTTGAAAGTAACAAAAGGGAATACATACAACACACAGAAAAGACCAAAATGCAAATTTCTAAAAGTTCTGGCATGTATGAGAGAACATCAGTTCTGCTGAAAGAGATGAGTAGCTTGGAGGGATAGAAACTCCTGAGGAATCAAAGCAAATTCATCTTCTGACATGTAGATCCATGCTTCTAATGCATCTCCATTCCTTGTTCCTGCTAAAATTGCCCAATTGAATCCAGGGGAACCCACAGGACAGACTGAAACAGGCTTTCCCCAACCAAAATCTGCTTCATAAGTTGGGGAATTCACACCAATTGCTAAAAACCCAATCACTCACAATGCTTGGCTTTTGTTGTATCCTTCTTCGCTTGGAGCGCTGAAATCGCGGATTCTCTCAGTTCTGTTAACTTTTCCTTATGGAACACAACACGCTTGCACTTGATCATCTTCTTCTTTAATTTGCTTCCACCATTGGAGGCAAATTGATAGAAAATTCCAATGGAGGAAAAAGATGCCTCCCTATATCAAAATTGGGTACCTTAGTACAACAACAACAACAACCTTTATTCATAGCAGCTCATGAATTCATGGATGTTATCAAGGTTTCCAAATCCCCTGCCTTGTGGAAAATGCATGCTCCAATAGCATTGCCTCCACATTCAAACCAAGTGATTTGAACAGCTAAGAGAATTCCGTTTTCAAGATTTGTACTGGTATTAGTACTATTATTAATTATTATCATAAAATGGAGCAAATGGCAAGAATTGTGCAATAGTTGGAGATGAAGGTTTTATGGATACCAATTCTACCTTGGCTTCCATCTTTCTATCTGATTGTAGTATTATTTTCTGCTTTGTCTTTCCATTTCATCCGCTTAGATTTATAGAATTCATGTCCATCCCCAAAAACAAATAAATAAAAAGAAAAAGAAAGGTGCATGGCATGGTAACTTCAATAATTGCCAACAATTTTTATTTTTATTTTTATTTTCAAAATGTTGAGGACTTATCATCAAGCATCTCAGTGTATATGGACAAAAAGGGTTGAATGGCATCTACATATTGAGTCCTATATTGTCCCCAAAAAATATCAGAGGGAATCAATCATCCTAGTCCAGTACGGTCTCCACATAAAATATAAGGCAAGTTAAACAGATCGCCTCATTATTTCCTACTTGAATCCGAATTGATGGAAAGTGTTTTTGGTGGGTTGTTGCATGTTGACAGTGATGAATGATAGTTCTGGATTTAGATTGAATGAAATTTGATTTGCTTCAAATGATTTGAGATTGTACATATGAACATTGACTTAGGTTTGTTTTGGGGTTTTTTTCTAATCATTTTCTTGTTCTGGAAAATTGTTATTTGGTTTTCTAAAAGTTGTTCAAACTTCGAAGGAATGGTCTCATAGAATGGGTAGGGCTCCCTCTGTAACACCTTTGTGCAATATACTGTGTTTCAGAGTAATTTAACAGTAATAAAGTGTTAGCAAATTGTTTTAATTCGAGTTTAAAAAATATAGTTAAAGAACTCGTGTATATATGTTTTTTTTGGTATAGAAAAGCATATGTTAAAGATGGACAAGAAGTAAAATAAATTGTTATTGTGATCCAAGAGATATTAAAATATACAATTCAATAAGTTGTTATGTACTGTAACATATATCGTGAGTTGAATTTTGCTCCTAACTCACTTGCGACTTTAGTGATGGATAGTTCCGGTGGTCTTCAATGGTTAGAAGTGTCTCCTAATGCTGTTAAAACTTGGATTCAACTTAATCTCATTAGTGTTTCTTATCAACGTGTTGTAATAATTTAGTAATTCCGGACATTTTCCTCTCTCATTGTAAAAAAAAAAAAATGAACAAGAAGTAAAATAAGTTGTTATTGTGATTGAAGAGATATTAAAATATACAATGTACTTATTTTGCAAGTAGGAAATACCTACCATACAAATATTTTAGCCGTGATTTCTAATAAATATCCTAAATATTGAACTCCTCTCGGACTCGTTGTCGTTGATACTAACAAAACCATATGCAATATTTAACGGGAAAATTGGAAATGCACCAAATCTGCAACAACTCTAATCAAAACTCATGCACTACAAATGTTGTAAAATCTTAGTTAAAACACGATATTATTAACGTTACTTATTAACAGTCGGTCTCGGTCATAATCTAATTTTTTTTAAGTATGTTGCCTTCTTCATTGTAAAAAAAAAAAAATGCACACCCATGGAATCTTGATTGCACCATCAGCGCCACTCTTTGGTAATATCTCCTTTGGTTAAAATTATAGGTATTTTTATGAATTTATGTACCTATCTCATTTAATCAACAACTTCTGCTCTGGGGGGAAATAGAGTATTTAGGATGCCAGGTTTGCATCTTTTTTTTTTTTTTGGTTTCGTTTTGGTTTTTTTTTTTTTGCCTCAGTTTTTGAGAGGGGAATATGGAAATTTCCTATCTACTCTAATTTCTTAACAATGAAATGACAAATTCTTCCATTATTAAATTTTCGGATTTTCTTTTCTTTTTCTCCCTTTTTTTAAAGCCAATTACAGATGCCAGTTCTAAACAAACCAATTCAAGACATAATGCTAAACCCTTAATATATTCCACTATACACCAGAATTAGATCATCAAATGCTATGGCTAAAAATGCTAGTTAACTCCCTCTTTTGAGGACTTAGTTGTTCTGCATGTTTGGAATCTTAGCAAATTCCAATGATTTCTTCCCTTGAAGCTTGTTTGTCACATAATTCTTGCTGTACTCTCCATGATTGTACCTTCTGTACTTTGGAGGGTTGTTCTCATCCACCATTTCTGCCATTGGTCCAATCTCTACATCATAACTTGGTGCATAAAATGTCACAATTGAAAGCCTGTCTTTCTCTTTGTGTGTCACTGCTCTGTGCTCCACACTCTTGTATTTACCATTTGTTAAAACCTGTTTAGCATACACAAAAAGAGAACATTTTTTAACGCGCTAAAAACAAGAACAGAATAAGAGGTCTCGAGATCAAGTAACACAATATAGTGATAAAAAGAAAGGACCTACACAGGGAACTTTACTTTTTCTTTTGTTTTTTTTTATATTACTATTTACCTCAATGGTGTCACCAATGTTGATGACCAAGGCATTGGGAATTGGCTGAACAGGAATCCAATTGTTGTCTTTAAAAATATGAAGACCAACTGAGCTGCCTTTCCCTTGTTGCAAAACTGTAAGAGCACTTCCATCTGAATGAGGACTAAGACCAAGAACAAGATCTGGTCTTGGACATGCTGGATAATAGTTCATCCTTGCTGCTTGAACTGCCACTCCAAACATTTCTTCAAACACATTTTCATCCAAATTCAGACTAACTGCTATGTATTTCAGCAGATTCTTGCATAGTTTCCTTATTTCCTTGGAGTATTCCTCCAAAGTTTCACTGCCAAAAAAGAAAAAAAACAAAACAGGAAACAAATGTCAGTTATCTCACCACGTGAAGTCGGTTATATGAATCATATGTCGTCATCGTGCTGTGCCAGAGTAGCGTAATTACCTGAAATTGGCAGGCTTCGAAGGCCAAAGTTTCGGGTTTCTTATAGAATGAGGCTCCACTCCAAGAGCAAACATGTTGCACCAATCTAGCTTTTGATCCTCTGAGAAAACAAATGCTTGCCCATAACCTTGAACAGTTCCAGGATTCATGGGATACTTCTGTTTCTCCTCTAAAGGCATCATGAAGAAATCCATGGCCACTTTCTCTATGCTTTCAAGTAAGCCCAAATCAACACCATGGTTGATCACCTAGCCAAATCAGTGCACATATTAAAACACAATCGTCACAGAAAAAAAAAGAAAAGAAAAAGATGGGAAAAACAGAGTACTCTGCATTTAAGTTACCTGGAAAAATCCCCAGTGTTCACAGGAATCTGTGAGTTGCTGCAGTTCAGATTGGAAACCATGATCATCTCGATTCCCTTTCTGCAGCCTTGATAAATCAATAACAGGAATAGTCTTTTGGCAAAAGGGGTTGATTCTTGAAACTTTTGGCCTTTCTTTCCTGTCCCTAATAAATCGTTGTGGAATGCTTGATATTTTGGTCTTATTTAGTTCTTGAACATCATCAATGTGGCCAACATTGATTGGAAAAATTTGTGCTGGAGCCATTGTTTGATTTGGCAGTAGGATTCTGGGCAAGAGGGAATGAATTAAACTGAGATGTTGATTGTTTTTTGGTTATCACCTTGCAGGATGCTCGTGTATTTATAGGGGGAGAAGAACAAGCTTATGCGTATGTATATCGTATCTCTTCCGTCCCAAAATGATTATTCCGCTTTGTTATATTAAAATAATACGAATAAACAAAATAATTATTTGGGTCGAAGTAAATGTGTAGTATAATATAATGTGCATAGAATTCCATGGTGGGGGCAAAAGTCATGCACTTTATTCGGCAATGCATGAATTTCCCATTTGGGATAGTTAGTGGTTTTGGTTTCAAAACCATCAGATCGGCAAAATTTGGAACTTTTGTCTTTAGAAAAGGACTTGAATTGAATCCCAAAACAGGCTTTCACAAAAATTCACATAAACAACTCTTGCTTGTAGGGTTACGTCTATTTTGTTGAACTATATCAGTTTATCAAAGTCGACTATTGAATATTGATACAGGTTTGATATTCAGTTTATCAAAGTCGACAATTGAATGTTGATACGGGATCAAACGGAGTAGGAAATTACGATAACGACTGCACTCTAAAGTCAAATTTGTTCATGCATTCACATGGTGGTGCATAAGTGTAATGCATGATGAGGTCAAATTCAAGTACTAGCTATATAGCTAATAAGTGAGTAAATTATGTGATTGACATCTTGCTTGTCCTTGTGGGAGAAAAACATAAATGACCTCAAAGTTCACAGGGATATGAAAATGGAATCTAATGTGATTAAGGAACTGTGTATGGGTAGTAGTACTTCTTCTTGTGACCATTAAAATAGTGATAGTGGTTTCTAAAAGGAACCATTCTCAATGCAAGTAGATGTCTCCAATTTTGCAGACCATATCAAGTGATTTGGTCATCATCATTCATCCCTCAAATCTCTCTTTTGTTTTGCTACTCGCCAAATTGGGGGAAAAGCTAGCTTACCATCCTTCCATTGTTTAAGCTTCATTGGGAAGAAAGGAAATGAATAATAATAAAAAAAAAATAAAGAATCTAGAATCAATTGATAATTGAGATGACATAAGAATGAAGTCTAATCCCAACTTTTGACATCACAATGAAAACCAATAATAACATGATGGTGTTATTGGCCAGTTTCATTTTGCTAATGCAATAAATGAACGGAATATCCAAAAGCGACTACTTTATCAAATTTATCTGTTTCAAAATTATTGTCTAGTTTGAAATTTCATTTTTAATACACTCTGAACTAAAAATGAAAATCCAAACTGAACAATAATTTTGGGTCGGAGGGAATACTAAACATCGACTAGGTGCAAAAAAATTAAGATAGTCATCAGACATGCTTTGTAACACAACTAGAGGTAGTATCAATAAAGTTCAAACTTAAAATCTGGTGATATATTTTCTCAAGTGTGCTTTGTTCACACGAGTGATCCCTTTCACTGTTCTGGTCTGTAGTAGATTCCTCAGAGCTTCGTCCCTCTCCACAGCTTTTCTTAGAAGAAAGATTCACATAATCCAGCGTGGACAAAAATCACCGGCTTTCCATTGTTGAAGGGGGGTGGACAAGTGACAAACTTTCTTTTGTGATTTTTTTCCTCAGTGGAGGAAGAAGAAATGATCATCCACCAAGAGCCCACAGACCAAGACTATGTTATTTTAACGCTTAACTTGCACAAATTATTGGTCTGTCAAAGCTGTCATGAATCAATTTGTAAGATAGTGTCCCAAAAATACTTGCAAAAATGGACACAATAGAGGGAGGAAGAAGATGGTAGAAAAAATTAGTAGCTTAGTCCACAGACTAGCCCTTCAGAAACATGTGTTAATTTCTTGTACACTTTTAGACTTTTTATGAGTCTACTAGAGAGATTCAGCTAGGACATTTATATCTCCATACAGTAACCTCATATCGAGTAAAATGAGAAAGTGAATAACGTAACATACATAGAAAAATATCATGCAGAATCGTTACAAATGTCAAATTTGTAAAAAGGGTTATATAATTTAGATATGTGGTAGAAATGCGAGTATTCGGAGAAGTTAAAAATAATTTTTTTTTTATCGATATCATCAGACATGATAATCATTTTGAGAGAAAGTAACGTTTTATCAAATTGTTATATCCCATAATCGTCTAGTTTCAAATGATCTTGTTGACATGACTCATGCAAAATTCCAATACGTTGAAAATTTCTTCAAAGTTTTCCAGTTCAAGTTGGACTTTTAGGGAAAAACCTTAGGTCTCCCTATAATTAATTACAAGTAGAGCATCCCCAAAGATTCAGGAACAGGAATTCTAAATAAAGGCAATAGTGCAGCCAATATCAGTTTGTTCACATGGCTAAACTATGAGTATTAGAATAATAATAACAACTAATTTTATTATGACTCAAATGCTTTTCACTGTTGCTAAACATCATATAAAGATCTTTAACTAAGGAAGCTGTTGCTGATGCAATCACAGAATCACTTAATAGAGGAATCCCATGATAAATAACACAGGAGGTGTCAAATTCTATGACTAAACTCGGATTTCACAATATTTTGTTCCATCTGTAGGAAAGAGTTTTGTTTGTTATACCATGTAATTAGTTGAACAAAACGTGATACGGTTTGAGACGAAAAGAGTATTATATATTATCTCGCTTATATAATGGAACTCAATTATCTTCCTCAGTTGATCAGAAGGATCTATAATGATAAGCATGCACTTTGAACAAAGATCAAAGGGTAAAAAGGACGAACCAGATCAACACCAAGAATGCGTTCTCAATTACAATTTCATCATGCATTTGTCAAATCACTTCATGGTGGAACTTAGGAAAAAAGGGGGGGCCGCCTGTCTGTCTAGTTTTGCTTGATTTTTGTTTGGTACTTTGTCCCTATTTGTCAATTAACTCGGGTTCTAAAATTATTGTCTCAAAATTATATTCTCTCTGTCTCATAATTATTGTTCAGTTTGAATTTTTATTTCTAGTTCTAATTGTACTAAAAGTGAAATCTCAAATTAGACAATAATTTTTAAAACAAATAGAGTAACAAATAAGATAATAATTTTGGGACGAAAAGGGTGTATTTTGTGAAATTTGGTCATACAGGCACGGGGACCCCTCTGCAACCATTTCTGTATAAGAAAACAAATTTTCAGTTTGACTCAAATGGCTTTGAGACTTTTGAGAATGACAATCTCCACCAAGACTTTTGATGAAACTGATCAATGCTGTCACGCAAGTTTTTCATGGGGGTTTTTTGTTCGAACAAGTTACTACCGTTCAATGTCATTGTGGAAACCTCACTTAATTATATACAACTTTTTCATACTCTTGGTGGGATTCTGGAAAATGATCTCAGCCCAATGGGACCCAAAAAATCAAACCTCACAAAACTCAGAGCATCTCCATTCATAAACCAACCTCAACATTCTACTAACAACAACTAATATTAAATTTTATTACACTTCCTCCCACAATGTATACCCAAGTTTATAGAAAAGATCTATCATGAACCTACTATAAAACTACATCAATTTTTATTATAAATTATAAATTTTAGAATAAAAAATAAATTTGGAATAATTAATTAGTATTATATAATTTTTGGCTGTTGGAATTTTTTTTCTTTACCACAAGAATTTTAACAAAATAAAAAGAAAAAAAAATAGCCATTTTGTTGTCAAAATGAAAATAGCCCTTTGCCTAGGGGAAAAAAAAAAGACAAAAATGGGCCCAAAATATGATGTGGTTTGTCTTCTTTTATTTTTTTCAGAAACATAACCGGCCAGAATTGACTTTCTTCAGATTTATGGGCATAAATTTTTTTTTCCCCTCCAACTGTCCGCAATGGCAATCCACCCGTACATGGAAAATGAGTGAGCCAGTTGTCAGAATAAACTTCCCCATAAACGGGCCATTGGGGATGTTCTCAAAAGAATCTGCAATTCAGCAAAACCCTAATGAATTAATGGCACCACTACAAACAATATCTTTCCTTGATTCTTTCTTCTAGTGTAACTATGAGGTAGACTTTAGCAATAAGAACGTAGACTGGATGGTAAGGTTCCAAATCAGTTTAACTATGTGATTAGGGTTCAAACCTTTTGGCATGATTACTTATTTGGAGGGTGCAAACCTTCCAAAGGGATTTACCGAACTCGGATATGTTTTAGTTTGGCAGTAAATTTGGACAAGAGCTGTGATTTATATTTGTTATAAAAAAAAAACAAAAAACAAAAGGAACTTGATTTCAGCAGCATTAATATGTTAATAGTAGTTTTTAAGTGATGGAAAAGTGGATTACTTTTTTGATGGTGCAATTACTTTGGCTTTCCTTACCAACTTGGGGTTGTTAGAGAACCGTCATTTATGCTTCGTTTACTAATGATTGTGTTTTTGCATCAAAACCCTGTTTTCTCGTGGTGATGAGTTTGTTTCTTCTTTGCCAAACTTCTGAAACCCTTCTTTAGGCCTGCGAAATATAGTGTCTCCTAAAGTGCCTAATGACCTTCCTCCACTAAGCTTCAAAAGGAGCATGTACCTCCTTTTGACCGGAATGAACCACAAATTTTGTTGCGTTAAGGGAACTTAAAATTAGTTAGGCCGGGCGATATTAAATACCAAAGTGCTTCAAACACATCCAGATGCCCGACTGCGTATCTAAAGACTGCACTGAAGGCTAACGATATTTCGGTATTAGACACCTTTTTCGTACCTTTTCAACTAATGTATTTCCAAGAGCTCAATTCATATTTAAATCGAATACCATCCATATAGTTCACTGTACGTTTCCCGTCACAAGATCAGTATTGGCATGCATCATCCTGTGTTGAAAGGAAGAGTACACCGCTATTTGTCTAGATAAAAGAAATCTACGTAATCATTACAATCGAATGTCAAAGCAGAATAAGTAACTTCAAGGCCCCATATATCCAATACTATCCCACCATTCCAGGGCATTACATAACTAGATTCATGAAATTTAAGACAGCCCTGAATCACTGGTTTGCAAAATCGTCATTCAAATCGATCTCCTGTTTTCTCCCACAAAAAGGCATACAAGTATGAGAAATAAAGCTTGAAAATGCAGCAACCCCCAAGCAAATTCTGCAGCCATGAGATGCAAAAGCAGAGAGCTGGGTAATCAACTTCCTTCCAACAGTTACAAATAACTATAAGAATTGTCTAAACCTGATCTTAGGAGCAAATTTACAAGGTAAGACTCGAGCTCCGGCATTTACAAAAGTTTGCGCTCAGTTTTCAACAAGGATGCACGCCAGACCCTTTTTGAATTTGGCAGGGGGCTGAGAGAGGCACATTAGAATTGCCAAGCGGCCATTGGCACATTAAGTTGACTGCTGGGTAGAATTATGCCAAGTACTTGAACAAGTTCGGGTTGTCCTTGTCCCTCTCCAGGTAATCCCTAGTTATCAGGTCTTCAATTCTCTTCTTAATAGCCTTCACATCCGGCTATGTAGCAAAAATACAATTTGAGACAATCAAATGATTAAATATCCAGCATGATAAATTGTTCACAGAAAAAACGAAGCAATGCCGAATCTCAAGATACCTTAAACATGCGACCCAACTGTTCCACACACTCCATGACCAGCTGTTGATAGCCTAACACTTTGCGAGACTTCATGATTCGCACAATTGATGCATCAATAGCATACCGCCTGTCCTTGTCCACATCTTCTATGACTTTCTTCTTTTCATCGACTGGAGGAAGAGGGATCTGAAAGTCAACAAGGAACACTTTACCCCCAGAACAAAAAAAAAAAAAAAAAAAAAGAGCAAAACCAAAGGAGTCTCTAAACAATGTAGTTCTCAGCAAAAACTAGAACGAATACCTTAATCCTCCTCATTTTATCCGTGAACTTCGCGTTGAATTCGAAGACATCAGTCGGGGAGATAGTTTTTGTATTTGGCTCCTTCGTAAGAATCTTGTACTTAGCACAAGAAAGAGAATGCAACAACCTCACAACATCATCATCCGACAAATTCAGTTGTCCCATGATCTCCTGGTAGCTCAATCTATCTGATGCATTGAATAGCAGCAGAGCAGAAGCCTAAAAATAGGAGAAAAGAGATTTACTTTAAGCTGAATACAAAATCTTCACAACAAAAGGCAACCACCATAGATTAGCTTTGCTAAAGAAGTACCTGGTAAGTTGTTACAATCAGCTCCAGTGTCTTGGGATCAAACTTTCCATTGATGTTACACGTTCCCAAAGAATATATCCAAGTAAGTTTTCGGTGCTTTGTCTTTGTCTGGTAAAACTCCCGGAATACTTCAACACATTTCACCTGTAAGAACAAATAAGGGACGAAAGAACAGTCAGATGCGAACAAAAGATGCAAAAAAGATCAGATGGTGGAAGAACATAACAAGTTACCATCTCAGCTGGGAGGTTAAGATCATGAGATTTGTAACTGGGCCAGAACCCAGTAGTAAGGACAGTAACAGTCAAGTCAATCCCAGGATTTGCCTGAGGATTACTACCGAGATACTCCTCAAAATTGTTTTGGTTTTCTCTCGCCAATGTTAAGTCTGTCACCTGAAAAGAAAAGTTTTAGGTTCAGATCACACTGAATACCAGAAACACATTTAGCTTGTAATATATTTTATTTGATAAAATTAACTTCTAACATTAAGTTCTGATGACCATATAAGTAGCGTACCATGCCTTCCATCTTTGATGTGAACTGACCCCCACATTGTTGTTTAAGTTTCGTCAGGATACTTCTTTCGTGTTCATCATTGGCACTTTTATCAAATAACAGGCGTCGAGCAAGCTTTTTCCTGTCATCATTTGTAATAGGGATGTTATTGCATGAAAACTTCAAAGTTTACAGCACTTAGAACTCAATGACCAGAACATTTACCTGTAGAATTCAGCAAACAGGTCCTTATCACTAATATAAGCGAGCAGCTTCACTACCTGTCGGATAATACCATATCAATGCAACTTTCAACGATTCAAACTACAAGAGAACTCAAGGAAGTACGAACGTATAATTAACCTTTTCAAGTGTTTCCTCAATGGCCTCATCACTGAGTCTTTCACTCCCACCCTTTTTCAGAATATTATCACAGAATGTGGCAAGAAGTTCTGCACTGGAACTTCCCGCAACACCCTTATTGCAGAAAACTTCGAAAGCTTCCTTGAGTGCCTAAAAAGAACATAAAGATTAACAAAATCATCCTCTAGTTTTTTAATCTAATGATAAACAAAGAGATAATTTACCAAGTACAAACCTTGTGAAAAAGAGAATGGTTCATGAAGCAGTTGTTTACGTAGGCAAGGTACTTGTCATGAAGTTCAATCACCTTCCTCACAAATACCTGAAGGATGCAAAAGATAAGTTGTGCACACAAACAAATACAGCTCTAATTCAAAAATACAAGAACATGAAGTACCTGCTCCTGCAAACCAACCACATCTTTCTTATCCGCCTGGTCAACAAGGGGGAAAAAAAGGAGCATTCTGTCAGCAATAATGTACAATCACCAAACTACTAACTGATAAAGCAGCCAATCAACCATAGAGCACTAGTATTTGAAGCATTTTTCTCAACTGTGAACCATGTTAAACATAACATTACAGGAAGAAGAAAATATAATTTACAGAAAATTACGAACCAACCTTCTTATTGCTTGCAGCATCTTCTGCCTGCTTTACTAGCGCAGTTCCTTCAGCAGTAACATGCTGCATTGGTGAAAAAGCAGATAATAAATGCAATGATAACATGCAATAGAATAACAAACTGCTAGTATGTGAAGGTAGTGAAATTGAAACAGAAACCTATAGAAGACACCAACCTGTTTGAAAATATTGGCCACAGGATCTAAGCCTTTTGTGATTTTGGAAAATAGCCTATACATCCTCGACAAATCATCAACCTGATAAAAAAGCTCAAATTAGATGAATAAATAATAAAAAAAGTACACAAACCAAATCCACAGACGCAAACAAATAGGCCTCACTTTATCATCTCTCAGTAAAGCATGACATCCAGAATGCTCTTTCTCGAGCAGTTGGGAGGCATAGACAGTCAACAGCTCATGTTGTACTTTCTGCCAGATAAAAAGATAGGTTAGTGAAGGGGTGATGGGAAACAGCATCAAGACACATACCATACAAAAAGAATTTTCTTCTCATCACTCATTCACTCAAACATTCTCTATTTCTTAACCAGATTATCATCCCGTCATTTTCCAACCTTAAAAACAGGATGAACGCAACAAAAACACAAATATTGGTACAAGATTACAACACAATCATAAGAAAATCAAAACCAGACCTCAAGCAACTTTGATTCGCTGCTGGAATGAAGATAATGAGCAACCCTGTCCTTTTCTCGCTTTAAACATTCTTCAGCCTAAGAAACGGATGGGCAAAGAAAAAATAACAGACCATCAGAATCCCAAAACTAAAATTATGGGTTGCCAATGTAAACAAGAAATGAAGAAAACATACCTTCAGCATATAATCTGGACAGGAGTCTTCCAAAATCCAGTTAGAAGCTTTGCGAGAATAATAAGCTGCAGTGTCTTTCAGCATATCAGCTTCAAAATCATTCTCATAACACTCCATTTGACCCATTCCGATTTCAACAAAAATGTCTAACACGTTCTTCAATAAAGCTCTGTCTATTTGCTCTCCTTCGCGCTCCTGATCAATCTGTTACAAAGAAGAGGAAGAATTAGAACTCTTCAACATCAGTTTCACTTTCTTCTTTTTAGGACAAGCAATTCACGCAACAATAAAGTATGTTCAAATGCATACCAGGGATATAACAGCATCCCGAACTTTTCCATTTAACTCCTTGTACACCTAAAACAAAAGTACAAAATAACAGGATACATGTTTTGTCAGATTAAATACATAAAACACAGTCCATTTTGGAGTTTCTTATTTATAATGACGGGAAAAAAAACACCACATTTTGCTATGGAGCTAAGAGAAATTTATTCACAACTCTTTCCTACAGATACTGCCAGTGTCTTTGTATCAAAATTCAACATATGATATGAGAGATTACCTTATCTCTGAAACAAGTGAGTCCAACTTCATTTAGTGGAGGGAGTGACCTTCGGGCAATGAAATACCGATCCAGATAATGAAAAAATCGGGATAGCCATCTAACCATGATTTTGTGGTTCGACCATCTTTTAACAAGCTCCCTCAACATGAACTCATCATGCTTCTCTCTTAGAGAAGGCAGTACCTGAGCCCAAAAGAGTAACAATTATAATCAAGGAAAGGCAATTATGTTTATCATATTGTTAATTTTGACAAATGCTACGTTTAAGGTGGCCACACTCCGGAAAGATTACTTCCTATCACAATGCATATATTGAGTAACAATTTAGCTACAACCACTACTATACTCTCCATTACCCCCTTCTTCCCAGCACTTTCAAGGCGCAAAAGCAGGAAAGTACATGACATGAAGACTTCTAGACTGGCTAAGCATAACATAATAGGATTTGGAGGGTCCACAAACATTCATCTATCAAGCAGTGAGCGTGCAGTAGAAGCCATCATACAAAGCAGAACTAAAAACGTGACAGAATAATATGAAAGCGGCTTTTTGTCATTGTTAGCAGAAGTTGTGTTTGATTCAAATGGAACATAGAATTACAATCCTTTTCATTGAATAGGTGTAGGCAATACAGTTAAACTAAACTCAAAATTAACATGGAAGTGAAGAACCACATTGGGAGATAAAGGATTCACAGTTATTGCCTCTAAGAATACAAAACATGAAGCTGAAAAAGTTGATTGCATTAGTTAGTTACAAAATCTGAAGATAAAAAGAATTGATGATAATTCTTACAGTGGTGGAGATGTATTCTTCAAAAGCCTCTCGATATTTGTCATATAACTGCTGGGAGTAGTCATGTGGTGGTTTTTGGGTACACATGTTATAAATTGTCCTGCACACAACATAGAATTAGCATACGTACTATCACAGAACCTTCAATAGCAAACCATATACCTAAAAGGGAAGAAAGAGCATTACGTATAAAGCATCATGTAATCTTCCGAACTGAACTGTGGCTCATCTTTCTCTTCAAGAATGTTCTTAAGCTTTGTGATCCCTTTCTGCATAAAATCCCATCCCTGTTCCAGATCAATGGTGTTCCGTTGATTCATCGTCATGATGAATAACTAACACTAAGGTCCCCCTCACCACTGTGAGGATGCCCTGAAAAAAAAAAACAAGTCTCTTAGTAAATGGAAAAATTATACCAAACAACTTCTTTACCACATCAAAGACAAAAAGCCTACAACCAACAAATTATAATCATTCCACTACAAAATGAACTTTAACAGTAAGATTTTCAGCTCGTGAAAAACAAAACATAAATATTCTGCAAGTTACCAACCAAATCAGTAAACCCTACCAAAATCTAACCGAAACAAGCTTCCAAAGCCACATCAAACCATAAACGACAAAACAATCACAAAATCACAACGGCGAATAAAACCTAATTTCCAGCTCTGGCAATACTTCAAGATTCTTCACCCGAAATGATAATGAAATCATTTCCAAAGCTTTTCTTACAGTAACACATAATCAACACCAAGAAAAACAACGCTGAAGCTCTACCAAGATATAATCACCGCTAAACAAGTAGAAACTCCACGGGCAAAAAAAAACACACATCGGCTTCGCAACCCCAAAAAGAAGGGGAAAAAAAAATCGACGAACAAGCATAAATGATTCCCTCGATACATACATAAATCGCAGCATTTCATCACCCTCGCAAAAATTTTCGGAAAAAATGCGTAAATATACCTGAATTCGAAGTGATTGAAAACCCTAGAATCGCAAAGAGGATCGACGAGCAAGCGGTGAAGAGGAGAGAGAAAGAAGAGAGAGAGGGGAGGTGTGTGAGATGTGAATCCCTTTCTCTTTTCTCTCTACCTTTTTTCAACTTTGCTTTATATTCCTGTCTATTTTCCAAAACCTACCCTTAGTTTTTTTCTAATTATATATTCGTGCCCATTTCTCTGTACGTAATAGTATGTCTTTCCTATTTTGTAAGTAGTACTGAATCGTCACAACCGCCTAAAACCTGTGCTTGTTTAGACGTCAGTTTCATTTTCATTTTCGACTTAAATGTAAAATGTATTTGAAATGAAAAATATATTAAGAAATAAAAAGGTTTATTGGATGGTATTTTTAGCAAAAAGTTATTTTCTATTCAAATATCAAGTATGAAAAATATCACTAAATAATTAAAAAGTGTCAATTTTAGTCACTGTAAAAAAAAAGAGTTTCAAAAATGATAGCTAAACGATGGATAAAAAATGCGCAAAGTTTTGGATTTAGTCACTGAATTAATTTTTAGTTCTAAAAATGGTCAATACACTGACAAAATGTTGCAAGTTTGATTTTAAAATATAAATCAGAAAGATGTTTGGACGATTATTTATTTTACATTAGGTTTTGTGTTTAAGAGGTAAAATGAGTTGAAAATGCAAAATGAATTGACGGGGACAAGCCCATCTTTAGAGTTTAGTTATTTTTAATCTTTCGAAGTTTACATTCCCAATTGATAGTCAAACGATAAAACTAAATAATGGACAAATGATGAATGTTGAAGTGTAACAAATTTATATATATGAGGCATCAACTTAATAGTTTAAGTAATATTTGACGGGTAATTTATAAGTTAATTATCAAATTATATCCTCCAATCACCGAAAGTCGAACTAGTATATTAAAGATGAGGGACAAAAATTGATATACCCACAAAAAAATACATAAGCAATATTATTACGGTCATTGTTAGTTGTGTTTATAAAGGTCAAAAATATATTCAATGCCATTGTTTGTATCATTATTATGTACGTCTAGATAAATATAAAATACCACAGTTGAAAGTGATAAATGAATAACTTCGTTGTCATGAACATGCTTCAAGTTCCCTTTTTCATTTCTTGTGAAGATTATTCCATATAAATCTCTTTTTACTTCTTGAAAACAAATGCCATTTAAGTCACGTGACAGATCCACAAAACATGTATATTCCGACCTAAAACTACATAGTTCAATACTACGTCATTCATGTTAATTAAAAAAAATTCCTTTTTACATCTTGAAAGCAGTTGTCACTTAAACCACGTGTCAACCAACGAAACATATTTTCCCGCCTAAACTACATAGTTCAATACTACTTCGTTTTATATTAATTAAAAAAATAAATTAAAGAATTCATTTATGTTGCTATCTTCTATGTGCTTCAAATATAGTAAAATAATATGGTAATTAATGCCATCTAATCAAATCTTCATAAATAGTCAAAAGTTAGAACTAAAAAATTTTCAACTTTCATCAATCAGTAAAAGGTATAAATATAAATCCAGCGGCGATAACATAAATGAGAAGAAAAGAGAAACTGCATACAAACTTCTGCCCGTTGTCAAGTCGACCGATGAGACCAGACAACAAGAAGAGAAGAAGCACACAACGAGACATTTGGCCATCATCAAGGTGCTCCTAGTAAGTATGGCACCAAAGGGGTACTCATTAATCTGTATTCTTATATTCGATATAAACTTTTTGAATGAAACACATTATTTTATCCATTGAAAGTCAAAATTCCGAAATCCTAATGAATATTGAATGGGCCGGAGATGTATTCTCAAGAAACAAAAATTACATTTTTATACTAAAAATGATACAAATATCAAAACTTAATAATAATTATTAATTTAAAACATATCAAAATTTAATATTAACTATTTATTTAAAACAAAGAACATATTATTTCTCTTTTTAGTTACAAATTCATATACTTTAAATAGTAGCAGGGCAAACGCCCTGGCTGAGAATCTAATTTGAAATATTAAAGTCGATACTCATTTCGTTTCAAATGTTTCATGACCCAATCATATCCATTCTTATTATAAAGTGTGAAGGCCAAGCCTTTCGTTCGTCGTCGTTGTTGCATTTTCTATCCGTCTCTTACAAAAACACTTACAAAATGCAATCTCTATGGCCCAACTTTTGAAAGTTATATTTTTTATTTATGACCCAAAAACCTGTCTCATATTTTACATTTAATTTGACTGACACATTGTGTTTGTTACTAGTAGTTATAAATTAAAGTGTGGAGATTAAAGTCGATACTCATATTGTTTCAAATGTTTCCTGATTCATCATATCCATTCCTATTATAAAGTGTGGAGGCCAAGCCTTTCGTTCGTCGTCGTCGTTGCATTTTCTGTCCACCTTGCACAAAAACACTTACAGAACGCATTCTCTATGGCCTAACTTTTGAAAGTTATATTTTTTATTTATGGCCCAAGAACTTGTCTCATGTTTTACATTTGATTTGACTGACACATTGCATTTATTACTCGTAGTTATAAACTTGGGTAATTGCAATACAACGTCTGTCGTCATTAGTATGCATCGAACTCATAACACCAAAAGTAGTCTTAAGTCCAATTATTTATTAAGTTTACTCAATTTTTTACATCGATCATATAATGATAGAAATCCCTACTATTGGCATATAGGTATTTATTATAATCTCTCTGTCTTTAAAAAACAGTTCACATTGAATTTGAAAATTTATATTATTCTGAGGCGAATGGAGTAATAATTTTTATTATGATTCTTGGGGTCTCGTCTGCATGTAAATTGCACTTCTACGGTGAAACTGTTTCATTATTTAAGATTTTGTTATTTTACTCATAAAACAAATACTTTTATTCCTTAATTTTTACCATCACCCACGAATAATATATAACTAATAATACTTCATACACAACCTTTAAATGATCCACTTTAAATACTAAACCTTCCAAGAAATAATTCTCAAAAAAAAATTTCCATGAAAGAATAATAGAACAATTTAGTTTGGATTACTCTCTCGTACTTAAACAATATATTTATATTCATAATTGAACTACGTAATTGGTTCAATAATGTCTTAAAGTTATTAGCAAGCAAAAACTCAAAGCACAAAATAAATAGATAAACTTATCCATTGTTATTAAAAAAAAAAAAAAACAAAGAAAGAAAGAAACTTATAGACTCCTAATATATCGCGAAGTAATTGTGGATAAAAAACGTATTCAATAAGAAATATATTATGGCAACATTTAATGATGTAGTTTACAAGTGTATCACTTTTTTATTCATCAATTTTAATAAAATGAAACTTATTTCATATTACTAGATGTTAAACCCGCGCGATGCGCGGGGTTTATTTATATACATTATAAAAAATCAACAAAAAACATATAAAAAGTGTAAAATGTATTTGGAGTCCATATTAAGATACATTACACAACTAAAATTAAATAAACACGTAATTGTAAAGATAAAATGATGCATATTATTTGAAATACAAGTGTTCACTTGATTTTTATTGAAGGAGAAGAACTAGACAATAATACTCATAAGCAGAGTAAAATAAATAAGATTGTATTAATGTTACATATTGAATGAAAAGATAAAATGATTGTACGCGTAAAATACATAATGAAGTAATTATCAATAGTAGATAGTAGATTATGTGTGACTGAAATGTGAAGTTTAAAATTTTTATGGTTATTTTGTTGTAATAAAGATTCTATGGTACTGTTTGGCACAATACTTAATATTTTAGAGCAACAAACCAACTGTAGAGTTAAAATTTTTGCCCTTTAATCCGTTTTTGCTATGACAATGGAAAATAATAATTAATGAAAGAATGAAATTATGGGTAAAAAAAATATAAATTTAGTAACGTCTAAAAAAAACCTTAAAACATCATTTTGCAGAAGAATATACGGAAAAAAAATCTTATATAACCTTAATTAACTATTACCTCCAATGCCACACGATCGACCCATTGTTAGTTCATCACTTTCAGAACAACAAACCAACTGTAGGGCTAAAGTTTTTGCCCTTTCATCTTTAGATTTTGGGTTGTTTTGGGGAGGGGGAGATTTTTGCAGCACTGGAATATACTCATGGTTTGTGTGCCATGTATAAATAGTGATTAATTGGGATTGATGATAATTGATTATCCAAAATTTTAGTGATAAAGATAAAGTTTATAACAACTTTTGAGATATTATTAGGGAAAGATTATATTTATTTGGGTAGATATAATATTACACAAATAAATGCATTGGTTTGAAATTCAAAAGATAAC